CCCTGCTCCCTTTGCCCCCCCCCCCCTGGTTTCCCCCCCCCCCTCTCCTCCTCCCCCCTCCTAAACCCTGGACTCTGGGAAGGAAGTGATTCCTCACTCCAGTGAGAGTAAACACTCCCCTATGTGGCCCTTTAAGCTCTGTTTGTTTTCAAAGCTCTCTGGGATGTGACACACACACACACACACACACACACACACACACACACACACACACACACACTCTCTCTCCGCAGCTCTGTCCAGTGTACTGCATGGGAAAATACCCCAAAACGGCAGGGCAAACGGGGGTAACCACCAATCAGATGCTCGTCCAGTCGTTCATTACGTTAGGCCACGCCCCCTGAAAAACTCCCTCAAAGCTAAAATATCTGTGAGTCTCCACCTCCACCAACAACGTTCCCAGTCCATTAGAAGCTGTGAATTATATTTCGACCAAATGAGGCGTTCAGGGACCGGCCAGATGTTCTGATAGGGCAACATGTGACACGTGACTCCTCCCCCTTCAGAAGAGTCTGATTCTGGAGCAGCAGAAAATGTCAAAGCTTTGATGGTGGACTGGTGTTGCCTTTGATGTTACACCTAGAAACAGATGAGATATATATTTTATATATGTTGTGATATAAAATATACAGACAATACGACCAAATGTCTGATCGTCCCGTCTTTTGTCTCAGGGCATTGAGTGGACCAACATCGAGTACTTCAACAACGCCATCATCTGTGACCTCATCGAGAACGTACGTCAACACACGAGGTCTCGTTGTTAAAAATACGATCTTACTGTTTAACTATACTCTGTTTCCTGTTTTATCGCCCCCTGGTGACCAGAACCAAAACGGCATCATGGCCATGTTGGATGAGGAGTGCCTGCGACCCGGGACGGTCACCGATGAGACGTTCCTGGACAAACTGAACACCGTGTGTGCCGAGCACCAGCACTTTGAGAGTCGCCTCAGCAAGAATTCAAAGTTCCTCACCGACCACAGTCTGCCACACAACTGCTTCAGGATACAGCACTACGCCGGCAAGGTACTGGGCGGAGAACCAGGACCCGGGATGTGGAGAT